ATACAACAATTTAAGATACCTTTTCAGAATAAACAACATAACTTTGATGTAATCCTTGAAGCAAATTAACCTATCGGTCCAAGAACCTATTTCATCTGATTCTCATTCTGCAAAAGGGGCGCACAATTTCGAAAAAGGGGCGCCAGACTTGCTTCAACTCGTTGAGGGAGGGGCAACTGCCCCTAGTTACCCCCCATTAAATCCGCCACTGGGTGTTGGGGGGTTTTGGGGATGGAGGGTTGGGGGTTTGGGAATGGAGGGTTGGGGTTTAGGTTGTTGGTGATGGGGGTGTTAAAACACTCCCTTAAAAAAATATTTTCTGTTCAAAAACAGGCTGCTTTATCGGCGAAATTTCAAAATTGCTCGTAAATAAAGGCGCGTTAACCTATTTATCGGCATTTGGGGTCTGGAAACCCACCTTAAACGCATTGTTTTGCAATGCCCTGATGCCATGATCAACCTGTTGGACATGGGACGGAATTGTCTGTCCGTTGCTTGGATATACTGGTAAATCAAACTGTTCGTTAATGAAAAATTTCCCTGTAATATAACAACTAAGATAACGATCGATTAGGTCAAGCATCAAACAGATGATCATAATCCAAAGAATCATCTTAGCAACATGGGATTTCCCGGGCATGGCAGAGCCATATTTAGTCACGAAAAGTGACACTGTGGATAGATTTCATTCAATTAAAGACTTGTAGCATCCTGCTTTTCGTATTAAAAACGTTAAATTTTGTATATCTCCTATGTCACGATCATTACAAACGTTTGCATCAGTCAATAAAAGTATCTTTTTACTAAGACGTTAAAATAACCCCTTTTTTGTAAGAAATTTTGCCAAGAAAGGTTACAAGAACTTGGTTACCTTTTACCGCACTTTGGTACAAGAGGTTTTTTAACAAATTTCTTAGTCCTTATATCAAACCTAATTAGTACTAAATAGGTCAACAGGTAAAGAAAACACAACATTTTTGCAGGAACCGAAAATACCTTCTATAGTAGCATGACTTAATCGTAGAAAAGTTTTTCCTTTCATGTGCAAAGCTTGTTCAAATAAAGACTTCACGGTTTCTTGCAAGAAATGTCAGTCACTGTCTGAAAAGCCAAATTAAAATTTGATAACAGAGCATCAAAAGTTGTTTTAACTTATTTGATTGATACAAGATATTGCTGCCCAAAATTCAGTTATGAGCCTAGAGTTTCTAATAGATGAGTTCTTTAAAAAATTGAATGTCGCTTAATCTACAGATAAAGCAAAGCTTTGGCAGACATATTTACTGGATATCGAAGGTTTGTAGATGGACCTCATTTAAACCCAATATGACATGGCTTGTAGCAACAGAACACAAGGCTGCTCCATATCATAGAGGCAAAATTAGTTGAACTCGACATTGCATTCGCTATGTCTCTTATAAGAAAACTGATCTTATGATATCATCTTGGCAAATCTTCTTGTCAAAAGAAGCAGTGTAGCTATAATTTGATAAGTTTAAGCCCAGCGGTTCCACCCCCTGCAATCCCAAGTTAAGACTTCTATTTCAACTAAAGAAATCCCACCATTTTTCTCCTTCGAAATACTGACGGAAATGTGTGGAATGGAAGGATCAATACTAATCCAAGCTGATTTAAGACGTTTATGTTTGATTAGCATGAATTTGTTAGAGATGCTGAGATTCAAAGACTACAATCGGATATCTACCAAAAGGATATACAATGAGATAAATAAAACTGTCACTTTTAGATCTTCATTCAATTTTGGGATTGCGTGAAATAATGTTAGTTTGAACTAGGTTCTCCTTGTTCTTCTTTAGATTATGAAAAGCAAACTGTAAAAGATAATTAGACAGCAGTTAGTTATTAGGAAGTTAAGGTAAAATACAACACCACACATGAACAAACTGACATATTAACAAATTATGTCTCGTTTTGAATTTCAACCTCGTTTGGCTTTCAGAAAGTCAAGGAAAGTAATATGCGAATTGCGAATTGCGAATAATTACGGGTATTTTCAGAAGGTTGATTTAGCAGTTTTTGTTTTGAACTTCAGTTTGAATCAACACTCCTTTACAAATCAAATATTCCAAGAAGTAATTTTTCAATACCTTTCAAATTGAATTATATAGTTAAACTCACTGTTATCAAAACACAGTAGGACCGATTACCGAGAGGCAGGAACTTCCTGATTGAAAATTTTGCTGAAAGATCTGAGAAATAACGCAATTCTGAAATCTGGAAAGGCGATTTCTTCACCTCCTGGGGTAGTTAAGCACCACTCTTTAAAATCAACGTGTACTTCCGAGAGCGGCTGAAAAGAAACAGGGGAGTCAATAAGTCGTGATTTCCCTGTATGTTTATTATAATGTCAAAAATTATATTGTGATTCACAATGCTTTAAGAGGATTCGCAGTTGACATTTGTAATTACTAATCTGGTAGAACTTGCAGGGAATTTTCAAGTCACTTTAGATCCACTGCATTGCAGTTTTATTATGGGAAAACTATACTTCTATGGCATACACATTTTTTTATAATAATGATTTTTTTAGTATTAGGCTCGAATTTTATTGAAGTTTGACTTGTTATTAATCTGAGTTTCTTGAGCAACAAGTTTCATATGAACTGGTATTTTTAATTTCCGGTTTTCTGAGAAGAAGTAACTAGCAAAGATTCATTCTTTCTTTCTCAATTTTTGCCATAAATTCCTCAATTTTCTCAACTTACATAATGTTTCACTTAAGAATGTCATAATAATTATTTGTATCACAGTTTTCTTAGAATATCGAGGCCACACTAAAACAGGTATTCTCATAAAAAAAGACGAGGCAATTTATCTCTTCAGAACAGGTAATGGATCACAAGTTCAGCATCTATCAACATCGCAAGGAACAAAACAAACTTTGGGCAAGGTACGGCAAGGACACAAAAACTTGGGAAATGGAGCATATAAGCTAGCCAGTTGCTAAGAACAAGATAATTTTTGTGCCCAATGAGTTTCACCCTATTGTTCTATGCAAGATATATAATATAGGTATTTGGTCATCTATCCTAGCGCACAGTTTACATCTAGAAGTCTTTTCGATATATCAACTGACTCTGTCTCTGTCAATAGTATGAAAACTGTTCAAAATATAATACAACCATACTTCAGACGTAAGTCTTTAAATGTTATATAGGCTTTTCTGATAATCATTTTAATGATTTTGCATGAAATTTGTGTGAAAACCGATTAGTTTATAGCTAATTGGTAGCTCTACTATACTAGAAGATCTTTTTTATCTATGGAAGCTGACTGAACTTCCTTTCTTCAAACCAGCCTCGGATACATTTTGCACAATATTGTAAACGGTATTAGGGTATACGCCGGTTTTAGTCACACGAAATGTTGCTTGAAATTGTGTGACTGTAAACGAAGTGTGTGTGTTTGTAAGTTGACAAAATTTAATAGTCTTTGTTTTTTGGTTAAAATTTTATTGTGAATGTAAACGGTGATGTGAATTTTAGCGTAGTGACTTAAAGGGATTTTTCAGTATCTATTCAGGCCCTTTAAAAATCCGCGTGTGATGACCGTATGATCCTGATGTCTTGCCAATCACTTATAATTTCAGCAATTTTCAGCAGAAGATCTTTTTTCTATGTTGTTTCTGTATACATCGATAATAGCTGGCACTTTCCTTTTGCTTTCTCGTGCTCGTTATTCGCGAAAATTCCATCATTCCTTCTCAGGTTATTTGATAAACCTGGTTTTTACACATTGCCTCTTGTATTCTCTTTTAGCCTTGCCATAGCCCCATATTGATTACTTTCTTGTAATTAGCATTCAAAGCATCTCGGATTGGTATGCATCACTGCAGGTTGAAAGTACCAGATTACAAAAAGAGTACCGAAGTGTTACTTCATCAAGAATCTATTTTTAGTTTTTTTTAAATTTTGACCACATAATCTGAAAGAATGGCACAAAAATACCTCTAAATGTGCAAAATCAGGTAGTTATGTTTATAATTGGGCGAAATATGGCCAATGAAAAATTTCAAGTTTGCTAACGGATCACTGTTGTTCTGGCCTGGTTCATAAAGTTTTGAACCAAGACCAGATTTCAGAGGTTTATGGGTAAAGAGGCTGTGCTCACGTGGCCATGTCTAAGCCAATTTGTAACACATTCCATTGATTTTGCACATTTAGAGTTATTTCATTATGCTCTTTTGGGATATATGGTCAAAATAGCTTTTGTGACGTCATCACCTCGGTACTCTCTTGTAACAACTCTAGGACAGTCACTATTTGTGCTGTAAAAATGGGTTTCTTAATTGTTTACGAGTTTCAAGAATCCTGTACTAGCAGCCTAATTCTCATTCCAGAAAGGCAGAGAAACTGACAAAAACTCGAAAGCTGTAAGGGGACCGCAAGTGATGCTGGGATGCAATTGTATTCCTAGTCCACCCTTCCACTAGCGTACAGGGGGCGTCCAGTCTACTCTGGGTTCCAGAGCGTACTTTATCGACGTCCCACTTGCTACACTTGACGCTCTGGAACCCAAGTACTCTTAAGCGTATTACCCATGGCAAAGGCCCACATCATAATTTTTGAATGTAGATAGACATGAGCCAAACCCTTCGACCTTAGTCTTCTTTTTGTGGGTGGGCTTCATGTTCCAGACGAGATCTTGCTTTGACGCACTTGACAAATATGTCTCCCACCTTTCAGTACGAGCATTGGTAAAATGCAGAATATACCACTCGATATGCTAGCAGCCATTCATGCAATGTAAGCCAGAAGTAGACATTACTATGTTAATAATACTATGAAATATACAGGAAAGCTCTTAAGGATTTAAGTAAGTAGAAAAATTGTATATCCAGTAGGTTCGGTTTCAAATCCCATTTATCACTTGCCCGACTGCAATATTTTTGATTTGGTGGTAAGCTGAAACGCAGTGTGCCACTCGAGGATACTAAGCCGCTACACATCACTACTGAAAGCCCACAGTGCGCTCACGGAGGTGACTTATTAGTCTGCCAGGCGGAGGGTAAGTCTGGGAAATAGGTTTGTAAATAGCATGGTGAGAGCACTCCAGGAAGCATATTGATTGCAAGACTTCTAAGTGCTATGCAAAAGTGTATAGTAATTGGCTCGGGGATACAACTCTTCACTGGAAAACGTCATGGCATAAATTTTGCATTATATAGTTCTGTACGGCTGAAGAGGGGATACTGGTTCGTGTCGTGGTACTATGCTGTGATCTTGTCAAAATGGAGAACTGTCTGTTATTAAATTTATTGCAATGCACATAAGGGAGATTTAATAATTTGCAAGGTAATGTAAATAATAATTAAGGAATAACGGAAAATGAGTTCTATGTTGGGTAAAATTTATTGTAGCCATTCATAAAAGTTGTTACAAAGAGAAAGTCGCAAAGCAGTGAGAAAGGGTGACGGTTGTTTTACAGATACAGATATCCTAGTTCCTAATTAGGGAAGAGCGTATTGGCAAGTTCTGGACCTCTTAAGGCATGGGTTGGAGCTAAGAGGTGTTTAGCGATACTGCTGTGTACTTGTCACGTGATAAACTGATTGATGTCGGCAAGGAAACGAGGATTACCTATGATGATTAAGCTTGAACTAATGCAATATGCAACAGAAAACAACTAGGATAATACGCCAAGATTGGGCACATTGTTGTTTGTCCAGGTCGAATCTCATTCACGATACTGTGTTCACTGGCAGTGAAGATTGGTGATCGTCTTATCGTCTCAGAAGAGCAACGCCAAAGATCAACGCGAAGTCCTCAGAACAAAGGGCCTGAAGTGTCAACAAACTGTTAATAGATCAAGTGATTTACGCGTTCATTTAGCCGTGAGTACGAGCTATCTACGTATAATTCAGGTAGATGATTTGTTAACTATAAATTCAATATTCTTGGAAATCTGTAGTCTGATATCAACACACATGTGTGTGTCTGATAGGTATCAATCTTCTAGCTATACTTCTCTATCAGAACAGTTCTCAATATAAAAATATGTCATTAAACATGCAGTAGAAATCTGTGCAGTGCAAATGTTAAGTGTTAACTGTATACCCTTTCGAATAAACTACATTCAAACTTATAGTTCCTGTTGTAAAAGTTGGTTAAGTGTTTCAACTTTTTCATGCTATCTAGATATTTAAATTCTCAATGTGTCTAGAGAATTATTTTTACAATGTAGAGAGTACTACTGCGAATCAATGACTGAGCCTTGGTGTGTCTGCCATATGCAAGAGCAAAATATTTCTCATATTGTAAAATTCCTTTACAAGATAGCCAATGGATGACACATAACTGATTCAATGACTTGAAATCCAACCCTATATTAGACTATACATTATTTTCTCTTTGAAAGATGACATCGTAATAGACTTACTTTCCTTCTCAGTTTGGATCAATACCTAATTAATCATGTTGAGATTTGGATGTCGTTGTATCCTAGCTTACTCGTCATCAGTGTTAAACTCTCATTTGCAATTTCAAGAAGCCCAACTGTTAGCAGTTGGTAAAACTCTCATTTGGTGGGAACATGAATAAAAAATGTTTTCTGTCATTTGGTGCATAGAACAGGATAGTTTTAGGTTGCTACTCCGAATTTCACGCTTGATGCGATCACCAGGCAACTGCCAGCCAAAATGAAAGTAATTCGTAACATGAAGAAGGATAAATTGCATCTTTGCATAATTAAAAACACATTATAAAGTCAGTAAAATAAAAATGTTTCGATGCCGTATATTTTGAAGAAAATGCAAAAACAACGTGTTCATGATGTTTAAGAGATCTGGAATATTGCTTTTTGGGTTCCATCATCTTTGTAACAAGAAATGTCGACTGTGTATGTGAAGAAAATGTTGCTTGAACTAAGTAAATGATACAACACCAAAAGGCGTTACAACATGAGGCTTTTATATGAAAAATAATGCCATAAGAACCAGCATTTTCCTGACCAAAAACTAAGTGCTACAGCCTACGTCTTAACGCACACTGGCATGATTTGAAATGACTTCCTCTCACCCAGATAAAACATATAGTGTGTTTTTAGTCTAGGGGATATTTTATTTTATAACAGGCAGTGTTGGGATGGAGGAACATGAATGGCAATGCTTTGCGTCTCGTTAGAGCAATTTTAATATGTTCTCTTGTTCGTGATACTGCATCGACGATGCAGAGACCATATTTTCACTGTCATCTAGTCGCTAATATTCAAGCAAATCTCAGTTAAACGAGATAAGTTACCTCGACAGTAGCAGAAGATTAACGGCCTAGCCAATCGTTTATTTTGGAAGGGTGATCTATTTGTATAACCGCACGTACATTGCTATGTAGAATGCCGCGGTAATTGAGATAATGTTTTAAGAGGAAAGCTCTGATAAAACGGCATGTCTTAAGAGGTTTAGCGCATGTTTTCTTGAGAATTTGAACAAATGAAGAAATCAAACAGGGGGTTAGTGTGTTATCAATTTGTCACCTTATTTCAGTTGGAGTTTGTACAGTGGTAAGACAATTTTGCAATTGACACAAGTTTTCTCTGTTCAGGAAAATTCTATACAACATTCTTCTTTCTATGACAATCATTTTTACCTTAAAATACCTTTAGCTGAAGGCGAAATCTATGCCTGCTACGCCAGAAATCTCCGGCGTGAACGTGTCCTCAAGGCCAATATACTGGCGTACAACCGAGCCTGTTTCAGTTTCTTTGGCGCAATAAAAATTTTTCAAAAGTTTCAAACTCTGGGCGTATTATCTCTGATCTACTGGCATGCCTCTGGCATCGAAGAAATGTGGATTATGATTTCTTGTCGCAAAATATAAGCAAACTGAATTTAACTACTATGTTGCTTATTCTTCCTGTCTAAATTGAAGCAATTTTTTCCAGTAAAACCCCAAACAAGTTTTCAAAGCGAAAGAAAATTTTTTGAGTTCAGTTTGAAATTTAGAACCAATTGTTGCACTTTAAGATGATAAAGGACAAGGTGCTTCTTTAGAAAGTCAAGTTACGCCTTTAGAAAGTTAAAAAATATGAATTTAGTGAGACGAAAAATTTGCACTCTTGACATGGTGGTGGGTACATTAAAAAACCAAAGAAAAAAGTAATTTTAAAGACCAAATGAAAGATATCTTGAAAAGAAATTCCACTATACTAAATATGAAATCGTTTTGAAGGACAGAGTCTCTTGCAAGTGTCTAATATTATTGGTGTTTATCATAGGCGAAAGAAGTCAGCTGGTAAAACACAAGATAAGCAGTTCTGAAAATATGTTGGGTTGGCACTCATGTGTGCCAAAGTTACAGTAGCAGCATTTATATGACTTATCTGTTCTAGGTTAAGTATAGGCAGGCAGCTTTCGGCGGGTTTCTTTCAGTAATGAAAGGTTCGCGTTCTAATAAAGTAATTTTTTTTCATACTTGAGCAAAATGCAGTTATTTTACAATACATGAGACAAAGCGAGCTGACCCAACTACCAAAACATATCAGGTGCCGAGTTGAAAAGTAAGGTTCTTCAACATGTTGGTTCGATTACCGTGAAAACTCGGGCACCAGGCTTAAAAGTGATCAGGTTTTACGTCCCTGAAGGCCCGAATCTTTTAATGTTGAAGAGCTGGTAAAGGGTTGGTAGAGGGCCCTTATTATTCCTACTAGATGTTTCAATCCTGCTATCAACCCTATCATTGCCGCTTGTCTGTTTTGTAAATTTTAAATAGTTCCATCTTGTCACTTTTCGGTTTGTTTTAAATCTAAGTTTTTTGTTAACCCCCTTAGAAAAATGACATGGGCTACAAGATACTCTTTAAGGTTAACTCGGACAATGTATGTTCTGTGATTAAACAAATTATTATTTCGCAAGGAATTGTATTGATAATGAGGCGAGCTAAGATTTTGGTGGCTTAGATGCATAATGTGGAAATGAAAGGTTATAAATTCAGTGAAATCCACAAAGGATAAGAAGGATCATAATTATTACGACTGCATTGCCGATGCCAAAATGCTCTTCTTTGGTTTTGTAAAACCATGCAAATTAGGTTTTGGCAATTCCTCCGACTCTCCTGAAAACAGCATGTAATTGACTTATAAATGTCTTATGAGATTATTAATTGTGATAAAAAGAAGGAAGCCAATTATTGTGACTTTTTCTTATACACGTATTACCACTACGATTTCTATAAATAAATATCAAATGGGTGCCTGAAGTGGAACATGCCAATACTTCCTGCTGGTTTGGTGGCGAATTGATTGCACACCAAACCTCACATTGATGATTTGTGACTCAAGCGACTAGATAAAAAGACCAAATATGCCTTCAAGTGTGCCGTAGAAAAAGAAAGTTAAAATCAAAGCATTATGCAAAATTTTTCTACTAATGTCAAATGTCAATTCTGAGAATAAAATTCTTGGACATAAACTATCGGTGTGCGGAATATTTCGGACAAAGTTTCGGCCAAATTTTTACCTGAATTTCATAAAAACAAGATTTTCAGCTACTCTCTTCATTTTCATTTCATAAGTTCAAAGTTGCAATGTCACTGGTTTCAAGATCAAATTGATAAAACATGTTTGGTAAATAATTGGCTGAAATTCCAAAACTTAACTGAATGAAAATGTTTACCCAGGCCAAACTCTGAAGTTGTTGGGGAAGACGAACAACAATTTGTTCGAAGGTCCTTTGGCCTGATCATCATATGCACATGTGAGCTAAAATCGACGACGTTATTTCCTTATAGCTTAATGTATTCTGTAGTAGGAGCATTGGTGGCCCTCATGGGAACAAACCAGTCTTGAAGAAATTTAGAATATAGGGTGTCACGAGAAGAGTGAGAATAAAACTCTGGTTTATACAATGCAACCGAGATATATTATAGAAACGTGATTAAATGAAGTGATGTAAATTTATAAATTTGTCCACAAGCCTTTTTCCTGATGTCCATGTGCATATGACGCAATTCTGTTACTGGTTCGAACAAATGGATAGGACAAAGTAAATTGTGGATATGTTTACAACATTGAAGAGCACGGGTCTCGAAGAGGCATTCGCCAGTTATATATAATTCGTCTATACCTTACATGAAGTATTTACGCCGCATAAAAAAAAGTATGAATCACTACAATCAATGGCCCTAAACTAGACTCCTTTCCCAACAATAAGAAAGGTGATGCAGGCACTGTGCACACGAGAAGTGATGGTAGGATCTCTTGTGCCGAGAGAATCGAAAGGCACATCTTGACCATCGGCTGTTAAACTGATTAAAATCAATTTTATGATTTAAAGACCATGAAAACTTACAGGAGGGGAAGGTTTATGGCGAATGGTACTGACATATCCCTTTTCAAACGAAAGGCTGCAAATTAGTCTAGAAACCGAGTTTAAAATTGCGGATGGAAGTGAAGTTCTACGTTTGTTTGATTCGATTGTAGCAAACTACAGTACACGGATTTTGCATCTAGAAAGGGGAAGGATTTTGATGAACGGTTCAAAAAATCTCCCATCCCAAAAGAAGAGCTGCAAACAAACTAAAGTAGATTCAAGCTTTGGAGATTAAAGTGATTATAATGTGTAAAGATGGTTGTCTTTCCCTGATTGATCGAAAAAGAAAAACGAAAAAGCCTGATATAAATATTTGTCTTCTTTTGAAAAGGCTAATGATTTAAAAGAAACATTCAGACGACATTAGTCTGCCCTATGTTTAACCCATTTTTTAATGACTGAGTTTACCTCAACTTGTATTTTCAATGTAGGTATGAGCAACGCAGATGCAATATGATTTGAAATAAGTTATTTGAAAAAGGAATCAGCGCAGAAAGTGGCCTTTAATTTTTTGTAAATATTCTTACTGAAAGAGAAAGAAATGAAGACGTAAGATGTTTTCTAGATGTCCATGATTTGAATTGTGGTGATAGTATGATTTGATTCACATAGGATATTAGCAAACAACAGTGATTTTTCATCTTTTGCCACTTATAATCTGTCTTTCTCAGTGCGAATAAAATCTTCGGACAATGAGAAGATTGGGCACAAACATTTTTGGACAGGGGTGGATTGGTTTTGGCTTCTTATTTAATCAGTAGTTAGTGGTAATATTCCATAATCAAGAAGGTCGAGATCAGTTAAATTTGAAACGACGTCAAATTACCAGCTTATAAAAGTCAGTGGCTAACAATTCAAAAACAACAACAAAACTGATATTTACCGTTTCTGCCATTTTTTAAATCTTGAGAATATTAGCTCTTTAACATCCAGATATGATATAAATTATCCTATCTGGACTGTTTTACACAACCGACAAATGTGCTTTTTATGGCAATATCCGTAATGGCAGCGATGCCGTTAACCGACAATCAAAACCCAATTTTAGGCAAAATCCATGTATCCAAGGTTCTATCATTTTTCCTATCTAAGGTGATGTAGTAACTGTTTAAATGGGGTTTAAACAGTCGATATAAGCTATTGTATTTTAACTTAGCTTTATGTTGCTTATAAAGCAACTTAACTTAAGGGAAGCGCCGTTTGTCAGAAAGTCGAAAGTTGACTTCACATTTTAACCAGTGACGTCTTCTAACATATTAACGTGTCAAGAAATGAAAAAGTCTAACACTAATGGTGTTGGAAGTTGAGAAGTACAAGATATCAAGATTTACATAGAGCTTTTAAATTTCTGGCACTGTTAGTATTGGTAAATTGATATTTCTTTATCTAGCTATCTAGCTATCTTTATCTTATCTATCTAGCTAATTTTCTTAAAAACATAATGCTTTTAAATTATCATGTGATATTCTGCAAGCTTTTGCAGTGAGATATTCTGCAAGCTTTTGCAGCGAGAATCAATCGATTTCCGTTTTTAGAACAGGATTTTTACAAGACACAGAACGACGCATTTATGTAACTATGTGTATACCTTCTTGATACAGAATATTTTTTATGGCATGCAAATAATGACTACGAGATGCCGTTCTAGCATTCCCTGTAACATTTAAGTGATGCTTTTAATGAGCAGATCAATTAGGAAGAACGACAATCTAGAGGACAGGTGTTGGTGGAAAGCAAAAATCGAAGCAGATGTGCATGGAACGAAAAGTTCATTCAAACAAAGTTGTTTCTCCATGCATGATAGTTGAACTAAATCATTGCACTTCCTTTGCAGAAAAGGCTGCATTGACCTGCGTGAAAATGGCGAGAGCTTGGATAAGCACAGGGATTTTCACAGTCGCAATAATCCTGCTTGTCTTTGCAAACTGTGTAGAGATGAAGGGCAAGAGAGACCGCAAAAACCGTCGTAACAGAGATCATATTGTAAGTATGAAGACTTTTCTTGCAATGTTCATCATCCTTAACATCCTTAACAGATTGCAAAGTCTGCAAATGACGCGATTGGGTCATGCTCTACACGCATTTTATCTTACAAATAAAGGGTTTAGTAGAGGCCTGTTTTAATATATACCGAGACGCATTAAAATAAAACACGTGTTATTCTAATAAGAACTCAGATAATGAATTCAGAAATATTTTTCTTAGCATTGTTGCAACCCTCGAAACCCCCCCCCCCCCACCAAAAGGGTGTCAGTTCTAAAATTTTATGTTCATAAAAGATAGGGCCAGTTAAGACTCCATAGACATGCATTTCTACTTCCATTTTGCCAGCTGCTCCTTCACTGGCTTGTGGCCAGACTAGATTTACTGTTTGTAGGTACATCCTTTATTTATGGATGTGTGAAAACCGAGAAATGAAATAAAAACAATAGGGATAGGACAGTATAAAGACCAAAGGGCTCAAATTTGCCATTGTGACAACTCTCAGACCATACTTTCATCGCACTAAGATTTAGTTTTGAGCCTGGAACGTATTCGGTCGAAAACCACACCTTTTTGTCCGCAAATTCAGCAAAGTCTACTTTATTTGTAACTTGATAAAAATATCGTAGAAGTATGCGGGGAGAGGAATACCCTTGTGAAGCTATTTTGTGAGATTAAAGTCGCGTGTTGTTATAGATACCTTTTGAATATCTATTTAGATATTAAAAGATTGTCAATAAAATCGTTTGCTTTGTTAGGATTGTTTGAGACTGTGAGGTCATTTTTGTGTGCGAATATATCTCAAAAGTACCTTGAATTTAAAAATTGACTCTTTAAATGTTTATATCAGTTGAATCTAAAGCCTGACTAGATTTGATAACAATGTGTATCACATTAAGCTAGACTTTGTGACTTCATGTTTTGGTGAATTAGGGACACTAACCTTAGTAGAACCATTCAGTCATTGCACTTCTGGTCTAATGTGAGATTTGATGCTTGTTTAACCTAGAAACTCAAAGAAAATCGCGGAAAAGTCGATCCTGTGAAAAGCTGGTTAGCATTTGTACAACAGTCTTCTCAGCGGCGTGGGCAAAATGTTGTGGAAAACAGACGGAGATCTCACAAGAAGTCAAAGAAAAACGCGGTAAGGGTGGATTTAGTATACAGAAAGTAAGAACATGACATAAAAAATGGAATAGCGACATAAAAGTTTTGGATCGAGAGGTGTAATCGCAAAATTTAAAATAAGATAAAATGTCGTTATGGTACCACACCCATGATTGCTTCATTTTCATGTTTTCGAAAAGCCCATGTGGTTCTTTGGGTCTTTGTTATTCCATGGGTTTTATGGCCATGGATTTGATGATAACTGTTACTAGATATCGTATTTGCCAAAGCATTATCATATCAACCATTAACAGACATCAATACAACACTTAGCTTTGCAATCGAGCATTCTATAAGCAAATACAATACTTCCGAATTAGTCATATTCTCATGGGCATAATCATTATGTAGCTAGTGCATTTTCAGATATTAATCATCTTAGATGAGTCTGGGTCACTTTATGCCTTGATTTCATACATTTAGTCCGAGATTTACATATTCTAAGACGAGCTTAGCCGATATGAAATACAACCTTCTTTGTTAATCATGATTATTCTGTTGATGAAATTGGGTATTTGATAGAATAATTCGTTGCATGTTTGCAGTGGTGTGTTCGAGTTTATTGATAGTTTAGGAATAATAATGATGATCATGATTAGAAAAATGATTATGATTATGATTATGATGGTTTTAATGATGATGTGGTGATTTCGGTGATGATTATTTTCGACAGTGTTGTTTCTTATGAAAAAGCTGATGACCACAATGCTGATTGACAATCTAATGTGAATCTCATAAAACAGCAAAATGATTAGATAAATATGACGGTTCTTGCTACAAATTTCTTGCAGCACAATGTACCTCAAGGACCCCCCGGACCACCTGGACCACAAGGACCCCCAGGCCCACCTGGTGCAGTTATTTCGGAGGCAGCCATGGTAGCAGAATTCAGAAATCTCGTAAGAAGTAGGTAGCAGTTGTTTGATTCTTAATCTGTAACTAATGGCTATCAATTTAGCTTTTGTTAAAGAAAAGCATCTATGACAGGACACCATGAAACTTATTTAAGTCTTGTTAATCTATAACATCTTTATCATCATTATTCATTAATTATCTTTTCAGATACAGCAGATAGAAGGGCAGCAAGATTTGCAGGACAGGTAAGACAATTTTCATTACAAGTTGTTTTAACTCTGAAAATCTTAAATGACTTGTCATTTCGTTTTTCGGTATCAAGAACTAAATGCAGTGCAGTAACAGACGTTATTCGACTTGGTTTTTGGATAACTTGAAGCAATGAAAAAAAGAAAAACATCGTGAAACAATATTACATAGCTATAGCAGAAAAATGTCCTTTTCAGATGAAAAAGCCTAACAAAAAGCTGTAGCCTTTCATAAAACTACATTTAAAGGTGTTTCATTTAATACATACACAATTCTAGGTTTAGCAGTCACACTTTGTGATATGGAAACAACTGAACAGACTCTCTATAGTAAATTCAACTGGGATCTATAATGGGTTGTAATGATATTAATTTTTAAACATTTTTATCTGTAATCAGCCCTTAGGACTAATGGCTGCCGGAGTCCCCGATGTGATATCTGCATTTTTCATCGTGCTAAAAAAAGACATTATTGTTCATAAGAAGTCAAAAAGAGAACTTAACCAATTTGAGGTGAGTGATTAACAAGCTTGTAGAAGGAAATCACATTGAAAAAGTCAATTTATGTTCACGCTGAAAAAGTCTTTTCTAGCACATGAAGGTGGCAATTTATCAGACCGTTTACGGCAATGAAGCCCTATTGTTGTAGCCTCGTACAGAACTTCTGTAAATTATGGTTTCTGGTGGTACTTGAATCTGTTATTTCGTGTCCTCCTCGTCGGGCAAAACCATTATACCCGCAGTCTTAACATGATTCTTATTAGATTTTTACAATTCATATTTTTTACCTAATTTATATTTTTGTGTAATAACATCAGTTTGAACACTGCTTGCTGTTGCCGAGATTAGTTCCAAAATCCAAAGGGGAAAGTTTTCCTAACGTAAACTTGACGTAAAATAATTTTCTAAGGACGTTGAAAACTTTTTTAGGCTTACTTGCGAACTTTAGTCTATGGATTTTTCAATTATATCTTCAAGTAATTTATCAATATTTTTGATTAATTATCAAAATATTTTTCAATGGATGTCAAAGGAACCAAAGGACAGTTGATTAAACTTTGTATAACATGTTTTACTGACACCTGAGATTAAAAAAAGCTAAATTCATTACAACATTTTTGCATAGGTGAGAGGGACAGGCACATTTATTCGAGGCACTGGTGTTCAGCTGGTTTCAGGGAGGTTTACAGCTCCATACACGGCAATTTACAGATTCCAAGCTAATCTACACATCGGTAGAGCCAAAGATGTCAGTTTAAAACCACGTGATGCTATTTCAGCAAAGGTTTGCATCAACAATGACTGTGATAACAACGTGTAAGTAGGCCGTTTCTTGACATTAATTTGTAGCAGTTAAACTTTGTTATACTGGATATAATGGTCTACCACACAGTAATATACAGCAAAAATACAGATTTATTTTCTAATGAGTGCCATGTTAGCATCAATTTTCCGAAGAAAAAAGTTTCACGAGTGTTTGCTTTTACTGTAAATTTAAGTGTTAAACTGAGGTAGAAAGAATTCTTTTTAACCTGAGTAAACCCAGTTTAGACCTGGGGCTGCAGCACCAAAAGGGCAAATTGTCAGGCAAATTGTCAGATCAATTGTCGTGCCTATATCACGAGTTCTTATCTGGGCCTAATTCATGAATGGGTTCAATGCTGCGCCAATAGTACCCACCTTAATGCAGTCCTAAACCACTTAATATTCTAAAGTTTATGGCGTATTGTCTACTGAATTGTAAGTTTGACTAATGTTTTACTTTATATTTTTTGCATAGTTTCACATTCTCCATACCAATGCTTCCTACTAGGACACTCTATTATGCTTCGTTGCAAATATTGTCAAGTCAAATGTATTTTTTTTTCTAGATCACTAAAATTTCGCTCAGGACTATCGAGTAATGCGAGAATTTTCACAATCTACGTTGAAGGTTTACTATACCTGATGGTAAGGTTATTAAAGCATCTTCTCTTTTCTAAGAAATGCAGCACTTGAAAAAATCATACTTTCAAAACAAGATAGCAATATTAAAGATAGATAGAAAGGACTATGGTAAACTAACAAGTTGGCCTGTTTATGAAATAGCTGCTTAGATAATATAAACGGTTTGGAGTACAATAACTACCAAATTTGTTGAAGTTCTTACCAACAGAGTATTGCTTTCATATAACTAATTTATTTTCCCTAATACTAGAATTTTACTCTCTTTCTACCCGAAAAATATTTTCAAAATGTTGGTAAACGTCAATCAAATATGTTTTATGAACAACAGGGCCCACGCCACCAGGGGGGCCGCAGGGGCAATGGCCCCCAACTTTTTTGATAAGCAAAGATATTTGCGGGAAAGGCCTTGAATTCAAGTTCGATTTATAGAACTTGGCCCCTCCACCTTGAAATTCGCGGCGTGGGCCCTGAACACCTACATCCTGAAGTCATATCAATCTTTGTAGCAAACCAAGATCGTTTAGAAAAAAAGGATGATGGATTAATTCTACCTTCCGAAACTTTCAAAGGTTACTGTACAACTTTAAGCGTGTTTTTATCCCGCTTCTTCCAGATTATAAAATAAATTTTTACTACCTTGGTTTGTTTATACACATTCGACATTAAAGCGTGCTTCTTTTGTTCTTAGGCCAACCAGTATACTTCAGTTATTCTAATAAACCACTCCAGCAACATAGTGGTTGTCAACAGAGGGTCATCATTCAGCAGTTATTTGGTCGGTGCATAGCATTTATTCGATTCTAAAGAAGCGAATGGTATGAGTAATTTGTAAAATCTTGATCAAAGCTTGAAGGCACCATGGCAGTTTACAAAAAAAGAGTACCTGGGAATGTTGCTGCATCCTTGAAATTCGGTACAGGGGCAAGCAAGTCTGGCTGCTTCCATTCTGTCTGAAATAGGGTCAAAGATTGAGTAGTTAAAACTAATGTCGATGGAAACATCAAGAAGGCTGTAGGAGATGACAGAAAAGAAATATCACTTGCGGATAACGTCCCTTTTTCCTACTGTGTTTTCAGAACGTTTGGATTGTTGGAATGATCCTCAATGGCAATTTTCTGCCTTTAAAAAGAACCATATGACTTATAAGGATATTTTAACTTTCAATTTGTGTCGGAACACTTGATCGTATTTGAAAAGCTTGACCTTCAGAATCTGAAGCTAATGATAAAATTTGGGACTGCTTAAAAAAATGGATCACCATTTCATCCAATTAAAAATAGGTGTATCGTCAAAATACATTGACCCTTTAACTGTTCACTTTCAGTTGTGTTGTACGATGTATGAAACTTTTCTGTTTATGCTAGACCATATGACACAAATTGGCCATTCAAAGACAGAAATGGTTCTTTAAAAATCTGTCATAGCAAACCACGACGAATTTATTACTTCATTGATGGATATTCAGATGTAAATAAGACAATCATTTATGATTTTTTTCAAATTTGTAAAGATTCTTAGGTATCAAATCTTGCAAGGCTAAAATTTGCTTAAAAACAAAGTGTTATCGTTCCCTAATATAGAACGATAATTGATTCACTAAAACACGAAGATACTAATCTTTGATGTAAGACTAAAATAACATAAACTGTGATTTAATTATTGTGAAACTTTTAAAAAGATATTTTTATAAATATATAGCTTCTTTAGCGTAGTATTAATATATTTTATATTCTAAGTTGCAGAGAGATTACTAAAGTAAAAACTTAATTGTAATAGAAATTGTGATATGAAAAGTAGAGTATTTCTGTGTAAATGACTGAAGTTGTTTGCTTTATGTAAGAATTTTCATTACTATTCGATTAAATCACAACGATGTGTTTTGTTTATGATTACCAAAATCTGCCTGAAACTTGTCAAGTGAGAGAACAGGTGAGATTTTCCCTGGTTTATGGAAACGTTGAAGGTACAACATCAATTTTCAAAAGGTTTTCAATACATCCTCGCAACTGATGACAACTGTAAACTAGTTTTTGTGAACAAATTTCTCTACAATTCTGCGACCTAAACCCGCTACTTCAAAAAGATCGTAACAAATGATTACATAACAATTCAGCCAGACAGAAAAAAATTACTTACAGATCATTTGTCTTTTTCCTTCGCTTCAAGCATAGTTATAAATTCGGATATCTGCAGTATTTTGTAACCAAACTCTTTGATTCTTTAGGACCTTCTACATCTAGTCTTTTGCCCCAAAAGTCTTTCCTGTAATCATTCCAACGTTCCTTGGGAGTGCAACAAATCTGTCGTCATCCATTATCACTTTCATATTTAAAGATTTTAATGGAACGTTTTAAAAAAATAGAGCAATAAAAACAAGGCCTAGATACACGCGTTCGTGTAATCTAGAATTAATTGAATGATGTCAATTTTATTTAATTAGATGTAGTAACAAGCATTACCTTTTTAAAATTAGAAAACTTTTTGGCCTAGATAATTTGGTTTATGAAAAGTAATCTGCATGCCCAGGGATACGTTTATACCTTCAAAACTTTATAGAATGGTCGTTTAAAGCTAAATGTCAATTTGTTATCATGCAAAATGGATAAGAATTCTATATCAAGTCAACGTGGTCACAGAGTAGGAATTGAGCAGAAGGGGAAATCCTGCACACCAGTTGAGGCCTGGAGGTTTTAGGGCACGTTTTAACAAAGAACTACACTTTCCCAAAGTCTATTTTTGTTGACTCATCAAGGCGTTCGTACTACTGGGAGGGAATTATCTCCTTCGCAGTTTAGATTTTTCCCTCGCAGTAGTAAAAGGCCTTAAAAATTTGCCTTTATATGTAAATTCATCAGCATTACAAAAATCTAGATTTTAGAAATATCTGGAAAATTGCTTTGAAAAAAGCAAACATTTTGAATCACATTTTAGCTTTTTAAAACAATTGTCAAAGCTAATTTTTTACTACTAACAAATAACGAAATTATTCCTCGAAGATATTACAATTTTTCTGATAAGATGCAGATAGCATGTAAACAAAAAAACTTCGTTTCCCGATTACTCATCTAGCTGTGATAATTAAAATCGCACAACAAACAACTACTTTGGAAATAAAATAATTTAGTGAGTCCTGTGTAAAACCCACATTATACAATAATTTACAATATAATCAAACTGTTTCCAGAAAACGGAAACGAGGACCGAAAGGGGCGAAAATGAGGCAACGCTTTCGTCACCTGGCCTTTCGCGCTTTTTCGTGGGCTCTGTCTAGTTCCTTTGCAAGTTCTTCAACTTTACGCGCACTGGATTCCTAAAATACACAATGATAAGGGATAGTTTATATGTATAGAAAATATAAATAAATGATTAATGTTTTGAAGTTAGTATCAAGGTCCCATCAGCTATGGTCCAAGTAAAACTTCATTGGTCTTGTAGTACTATAGGTATCATATAATCATGCTAGAATGTGAAAGTTGCCGAGTAAAGCTGCCATCTTGTTTCTTTCGCTGAAATGCCATTTTTTTGGCAAATTTTGGGCCTATATCCCAAACATAGGTTGTTTTCATTTAAGAGCACATACCCATCGTAAATTATTAGATGACTAAGCGCTTGCATAGGAATTAAAAAGGGGAATAATTTCTACCAGTTTCCATTGCTTTATGATCACATTCGACATGAGGAGGCCTTGTCGAATGGATGAAATGTCGTATCAGCCAATTTTGCTACATGCTTTCGGGGGAAGAGAACGGCAGTTCTGAATGGCACTCCGCTTTCAATTTCTAGTGGAAACTGCATCAATCAGCAAACACTAGGCAGACCGGTAAACAATAATCTATACGAGTGTCTATAAAAATTGTACAATCTATCTGAGATTGTTGTTGTGAGGGGTCTTTCTTACCATTAGTCGCTGGTACTTCTGAGCAGCTCTGTCTGCAAGACTCCGCTCAGTTTTGAGCACCTGTTTTAGACCCCGTGTATCGTTTAAGTTCTCAGCAACTTGGTCCGCTGCTTTGCTCACTGCGACACGACTTGCCTGTTTTTCATTAAGGAGAAGATAATCTGTTAAGGTTTTGGAGACTTAAAATAGCTAATCTTTCAGGGACAGAGTCACATCCCACTTTTTGACGTAAAAGACTGTGCACAGATCGCCAATACGCCTGTTTTAATACCCAAAAAAGGAGAAATGTAACAGTCACTGGAAACGATTAGTTAGTTTTTCATCGGCTCAAACAGCTAGCAATATGAAAAGACATAGCAGTAATCTTTATGTTCCTGCAAGATTCAAGAATAAAAGATACTTTATAGATGTGGAAATAGTCCACACAAAACTGTCTCTATGGCATAATGTGATTCTAGCAAATTCTCCAAAAAAACATTTGAAAATCGAACATCTGCTTCTTAATGTGAATCGACGTCTCATCTGTAATTATCATCGTTCTGCCTTCATTAATTAGTACAATGAGTAGTGTTCAAAGTGTAAAGTTTTTTGCATAAAATGTCACCACAATATCTCTACTAGCGTTAACAACACAAGCATATAGAATTATAGCTCACTATGCATTGCCAAGAGATCAAAACTGAGTGGCCTATGTGATCAAAGCTGCTGTTTCAAGCAATTCCAGAAAATAAACTCACCATAGATTGTAAACATTGAACATTTACCCTTGCGAATTGCAATAAAAATAAAAAATTGTGAAAGAGCTTTTCTCAACTCATTAACATGAAAAATATGTAAGAACTAGCAAAAAGCAATACTAATTATGCATAACTTGAGTTAGAACTGAAGACGTTTAGGCCAATAGCATCATCAAAGTAAGTTATCACTAAGGACATTCACAAAAAATGTGATGATTCTGTGAACCTTCAAAACTTATTCATTTAGTGTCTCTGGAAATCTATTGAATAATATACATTAATTCAAAATGCCGCTAAATCCCATGCAATTAAGAATCTTTTTCACCTGGACAAGCTTTTTTGCATCCTCGGATTTACTTTCTATAAGTCTCTCTTGCTCCAAAGTCGTTTGTTCTAGTAGATATTGTGTCTGTCTGAAATAGGGAGACACACCGAAGGATCGATAAGTAAATCGCAACGGAAATCAATCCAAGAAATAGTGTAAATAATACAACTTTATGGCCTAAACAAAATTCCGATAAAATTCTTTTCAGAACCAATAACAAGTACACATTTGTCTGTTCAACCTCATTTTACCATTCATATCTCCACCTTATTTGACAACAATGAACTGTACTGTACAAAATAGCTTGTTGGAATATCAATCTTGTAAAGATAACATAACTTTTCGCTGGTCAAAAAACTAAAAATGGCTTGGAATAAGAAGCATGTTGAGCATACTAAAGCTTTTTATCAGACGCTTCATACTCTGAAGAAAGTCAGTTGAAAAGCTTTAGCATGTTTCAGTAAACAACGCAATCAATACCGTGCAGTTTGAAGTTCGATTTCAAGCTCTTCTACTTTCTTTTGAAACCATTTTTGTGCTTGCTTTAGTTCATTGGAGGCCTAGATAGAAATTAAATTAGGTGTCCAAATTAAGACTTGCATGCTTTATTAATGTTTAATGTTCGAAGGAGAGTGTATGATTAGTTGAAAATAATAGACGAAGAAATAATAAAGAAAAATATTAACATTTTCCTTCATAATCCCAACATACAATTTGGGACAAATTCAACTGGTGCGTGTACCAATATTCATGGCTCAATTGAAACGAGATGAAAATAATACAAATTTCCAATACAGAAAGTCCAGTTCACCTTCATGTCACGTGTCACTTATTGCAACAAAGACATATTGTGCAAATCTAATTCTCTATGCTCCAAATCATATACACGAATTAATTAATCAAACTATGACGTCCTTATCTTATTCTGAAAATGACAGCCATAGAGCATCTTCGACTAGAAAGCAACAATATAAATTGCATTAGTTTAATTGTGACTTTTCATTACCTTAATGCTTTGCAAGCTAGCCTTTTCAAGCTTTCGATGCAGTTCCTTTTCTTTTGTTTCGAGAGTCTACGGTTTTAAGTGTTAGATTTGAACATGTGTAATATTTAAACAACAGTGTGTTTTGTTACATTTTTATAAAGTTTTCAAGATTCCTAAAGATGAATTATTCAAGAAATGTTTTTGATTATTTAAATGCAATGTTTAATTAAGACAACATCAAATAGACAAGTTACATGTAATGAACAATGTTGGATCTTAAACAATTTTTGGAATAGACTGTCAGAAATTTTGGGTAAACAAAACGGATAAATTACTTTAATTGGGACATACAGGCAAGTAGAGATCAAATGCACCATATCTTTGCGCGAAAGTGTCCCTTTTTTACCTTTCTCGAGTTAACAGCTCAGGCACGATGAGCTATGCTTCTCCTTTGTCGTAAACAATACTAATTTTTGCTGAACACCTGCTTTAAGGTATGTTTCTATGAATAACACTGAACTGAATTTTATCGAAAAGATGGCACAAAACATCGTTCAAGGAAGACTGCAACTTCTGTGGTATTAGACAAACAAATAACAATGTTGCAAGGACGTGTGTGACAGAAAAATATTGGTTAGGCTTTTGATCCGAGATGATATCATTACCATACATCTTGATTCTGCCTCCATCCTGATCATTTTTTCTTTTTCTATTGCATTTTCGTATTGTCTACGAGGTGAAAGCAACAGGTGAGATTTATCTTCTATATTATCGCAAAGTATTCTGTGCAGAAAGCTATGAAAAGGCTTGGCTGGGAAGTGTATCGACTTTAGTGATATAGTTAATGTAGCAAGGAAAATAATCGCAAAGAAACTGAAAGATCTGATTTACCAAGAAACGATGCTGTTTCTTGAGCTAGAGCAGAAACAAGTTTATTGAGAAGAAAGTTTGAGACCTGATTGAGACCTTTTTTACCAGCCACCTACATTGGCCTATAGATCGGCATGATACGTTTGTGCATGTGTCTAAAGTGTAAAAAACGTGTTTTGATTGTGTCGTAAAAAGATGAGAAAGATTTTACCTCAAACAAACGTTTTAAGGCAATAAGTACTAAAAGAAAAACACTTTATTAAATAAGTTCACGCCACATCATTTGTTTAAAACCATATTACGTATAATACCTTGATGACATATCAGCTTGTGTTTGAAAAAATACAGCACTTTGAATATCATTTCGCAGTTCATCAATTTGCGATACCAAGCTTTGTATTTCGTCTACCTGTTGAGATAATATAAGTAAATAAAGGTGTTTTTTTTTATAATTATCTTTGCTATGATTATGGTGTGGGTATGGACATACAGAGGTGTTAATGTGGGTCTTCGAATTTATACTTTTAATAGCTAAAGTAAACACACAAGTTATAAAAACTAAAAATTTCTTAAAGATAATATGTTATTGCTTCCTGTTTGTTCAAATTGATGCTGTATTTTTGCTTTGAATGTTCTCTAGTTTTTTTCTTGATTACTAAATGACAATGCCACTTCGGAACATCTTTGTGATTACTGATGTGTGTGTGGGAGAGGGGGGGGGGGTAAACAACTCATCTCTTTAAAACAAGATGAAAATAAAGCATTATATCTGCTGAATACCGAAAGATTAAAAAGTTAAGAAAACAAATAGTATATTGCCAATATGAATATAAAATGCATATCAAAATAATTGATGGATGATACAGAAAGAGCAACTTATCAATAATTCTTACTTGCTCTTGATTTTTCAGTTTTAAGTTTTCTAGATCTTTTCTTTGTCGTTGAAAATCATCTTTTTGCTTCTGAAAGGCATCAAGGACAAAAATATGCAGGATTTAAACATTATACACAATTTATGTTATCAAAAAGGTTTATTTCTAAAAAAATTTAATTTGGATGTCGTAACCAGAATAGGCACCTCGAAATACCTCAAAAACTTCAAATTAAGTTGAATGTGAGACACAGTACTTGAAATATTGCCACATAAATACGGGCTCTTTGACCATTAAATCTTTATAACTTAGTCATGGTTCTAAAATCTATGAACAAGGCCAAAATTATAGTAATCCATTAGCAAAACAGAGTTCTTTTGCTCGCCATTTCCCAGTCACTCAGTCATTAAACAAAGCTATGAAATAGGAATTCAAAATTTTTATACACAATGGAGCACAGCATTAAAGCAGAATACAATGCAAGAATAGAACATGGTACAGATGTAACATAGAAATGCCTTGTTCTAGGTCACTGGAATAAAAAAAAAGGTTTCAAGCTTGTAAATTGGCGTTTTAGGAGTTAATAAATTTGTTTTGATCACGAAATGCAAACTTTAAAAATAACACAAACTCCAAGAATAAAGGTTCACAAGAAAAAACATTTCGAACAATTTTTATCAGGTTTCATTGACGGTGTACTATCTTAATAAAAATTAACAATAATTCATTTTACCTTAAGCCTCCTCTTCATAGCTGATATTTCTTCATCAGCAGAAGCTAGTTCCCTCTCTTTGCTTCTTAGCTGACTTTTCAACTGAAGGAAAGAAGTGGCGAATTTCATAAAGTTAAAAACTTACGATGAAATGATACTGGCAGTAGACACCGGTATTGTTTGAAGATTGTACATTCCATTTCATGTCCTTTGTAACATAGTTTTACCACGGTTAAGATTGATTATAGTTGTTTAAAGGCAGAAAAACATGTCCTTCTCTCTCCAAATACTGCGAAGTTATAGTTTCGTTATCGTGGCTGGCTAACGTGGCCAGGAAATGGTGAAATAACAAAATTATCGGTTTGAAAAAGCATAAAAGTCATCTTTTTTGCTTCAAAATATTTGTCAATCAGACAATCATAATAGCTAAAAGAATAAAAAATAGCAGAAAAATATTTCATTTTGAATGAATCAAAATATCAAATGGAAACAAAAAAAAATAAAATTTTCTCAAGAATTCGGTTTGCTGACCTTTTCTAGATGTCTTCTATAATCAGACTGAATTTCTTCTTTTTCCTTAGAGTTTTTAGTCATGATGTCTTGTTCTTTCCCCTCTCTACAACTCAAGATGATCGACTTGTTATCAAAGAAAGAGTCAAAACCAAGCAAAACTTGTTCGAGTCCTGTATCGCTAAACGCTATTACTTTCTAAAATAAAGGACTTTAAGAGAACATAAAACACATTTATCTGCTAAGAAAAAAATTAAAGAAACGAAAACTTGAAGATACCGGTATGATATTAATTACAATAAAACCTACCTGTATAGATTAAAACAGTCAACTTTCTGAAAATGCAAACCATCTAAATAATCACAGATCTAGGTACAGATAAATATCAGCCAGATGAACGTTGCATCTAGGATGCTTGGTAAGAGTATAAACGGAGCACCAGAAAGTACAGAATATCATTTAAAATACCCACCTCTCAGAGGCATCATCTTCCATCTGTTTCACTTTCCTTCTAATATCTGCTTTTAGCTTCTCTACTTCATCCTTTAACATATCATTCTGTCGCTGCAATTTCTTTTGTACAAGCAGCAGTTCATTGCAATTATCCTCAGCAGCTTTCTTCGCCCTTTTGGCATTTGACAGCTTGAATTCAAACGATAAAGAGAAAGAGATGATCAATGAAAGATGGTTGAAAAGTTATACAAAAGAATAATGATATTCGAAGGGCAAATAAAAAAATCAAAATTAGAGAGACTGTCTGCATTGGATCAGTAATGAGGCGAAAACACATGGTACAAGTAGAAAAACCTCATCTGAATCAACGTCCTCTAAAGACGTTATCTTGTTTTGCAGGTTGTCCAATTCAGTTTGCAAGTCTGCTATTGTCTTTTGCGTGGAATTCCTGGAAAAGATGTCAGGGATATTGTAAGGGACCTTAAAAAATATAAAATACAGTATCGTTAAATAAGACCCAGCAAATAAAAACAAAGCGAATCAACAAATCGCACACTTTCTCCTAGATTTGCTAGCGGTTACTCTCAGTATTTTACTGAATTGATAAATACATCGCAGAAAGCGTTATTGTAAAAACCAAGCACGCGCGGAAAACTCATATTTTACTCTGCCAATTCAGGCTATCAAGAAAAATACAAAGAAAGAGCTCATCCACCTGTTCAAGCATTATTCGCGATAAACAAAGCGATGGACTAAAATACCTTTCCTGCACCAGGTTCTGAATCTCACTGTCTTTTTTTCCTAAAGTAATTTGCAAATCTTCCATATTTGCTTGCATCTTAGAATGGGAGAGCATCATGGCTTCAAACGAATCGACTAGTTTCTTGTTGTCAGCATTGCAAAGCTCCAACTGATTTTCAAGATTGCTTATCTGAAAATAAAGCAGATATTTCCAAGCTTAACGAAAATAACGCATAAATAATATTTATTTGAAAATTGTCATTTATGTTAACGAGAAAAATGGAAAAGCAAGGATAGATTTCACAATGGTTATAAATTTTAAATAAAATGTGACTTAAATAAAATTTATATTAATAAATTAAATGAATAATTCGAATCCCGGACGAATTGGTTGAGACTTTTAAAGGAAAGCTTATATTTTCCCTTTACTTAAGAAATAACTTGCCCCCTCCCCCAATTCAATGTTGAATGCATGATTTTGAAGGAGAAATGATAAAACTACAAATCCAACATTGCTTCGGGGGAAAAGGGGATTCGAATTTACAGGGGCAAGGTAGAGTAGAAATTACAAAAATTGCATTTTGTCTCAACATTTTTCTTCGGGATTGTAGAGTGTGATTTTGGATTCTTATATGTCGGGGAAGATTAAAAGGACATGCAAATACAGTTGGGGATAATGAAAGTTCAATTTATCAGGATATCCAATGATCGGGACTATACTGTACACAAGATTTCTGTATTGTAGTGAGGTAGACTCATGTTAAGTAAGGCCTCCCGGACACATGGCAAATCTATCCCACCAAGCGAATGTCCCAGTTAAGTAAATATCTTGGTGAATGGAACAAAAGAAGAATAGAAGGTTCCGTTTAGCGAGAGATTGTACGATATAAGGATGGGCTGTGGCACCAATTGATCACTGGCTTAAAACCTTAAGGGAAATAGTTTGGAGAAAATAGTTTTCCATATTTTGCAGGAGTTCATTTTCGCGGATGAACTAAAGTTAAATAATACGTTGTCTCACTTAAGCGAAGTTTTTTCTATTAAATTTTAAAACAAGTTCAAGTAACATAGAAATTTGACCCCATAGAGCATAAACTCCACTTTCTGAAAATTGAAATAAAGCTCGGGCGTTGGAACACAGATTTTTTGTCCCTTAGTGGCCTATCAAACAAGATAATACTGTGTCATGCTAATAAACAATCAAATTCAATTTGATGATTAAAAAAATTGAAAAGCAAGCAAAACAATTTAACAAAAGTAGGTAACCATGAAACTATAACACTAAAAAATGTGAACAATTTTTTTGCGGTACAAAATTTGAAAATGGCTTTGAAAAAAGCAAACATTTTACGACATACTAAACGCTTTTTCGTCTGACACTCCTCAGAGCATAAAACGTCAGAATAAGGTTCCGAAAGAACACGATGGAAAATATATACCCAGTTGTGGATCGAAATAGGCCAATTAGAAAAACGCAAACACAAGACTGTTATAGTTGACCAATCAGTGCCGCGAGCCTGAAGAAAAATTACCAATGGAGTCCAAGAGAGAAAACGAACTCCTTCTGTCTACACAATGGCGGCTTTTTCGTTTTTATGTAGATCGACTCCAAATCTGCTAGATGGAAGGACGACCGGGCTCTGCCAATTATCCGAAACATGTCGTTTTGCACACGCTTTTAGTATGTCGTAAAGTGTTTGCTTTTTTCAAAGCCAATTTGAAACACTAAAAAAGGCCGAACGATTTGAGTCACCTTTTCAGAATACTTTTCAATAGTGGAATCTTTGCGAGAAAGAAAATTCTCTGCTTCCTTAAGTGATTTCTCTCTCGTACTGACAGCAGTTTCAAGATCAGCACCCTTTTTCTTGATGACTTCTTGCAACCTTCTAATCTCGGCGTCTTTCTTTCCACTTTGTACATTTAAATTCTGCATTTCTTTTGACAAAATCTCAAAATTACTTCTCAAAACACGTTTTTCCTCCTTCAGAATCTCATAATCTCTCTTAATCCCAGCGTTTCCATTCAAGTCAAAGTTCAACTGCTCAACTTTTGATTGCAGCAAACCATTCTCATAGGCTAACTTGCTTTTAGCTTGCATTATTTCTGAAAACGCTTCTTCAATTTGCTTTTGCGACAAACTGTTCTGGTCTGCAGTGTTTAGTCTGTTTTTTGCGTGTTCTAATTCTGTTTTATTGCTTTTAAGACTCCTTTGTAGCCGTTCTATTTCTGTTTTCATTTCTTTCATTGTAAATTGATATTCCATGTTCTCCTTCTTTGAATCATCAAACAGCCTTTGCAGTTCCAATATTTTTTCGTTTTTCTGTTGCAAAGCAATCTCTTTGTCGTTCCTTGAAGCTTCTAGAAGGCTCCTGACTTGATCTAATTCGGTTTTCTGGAAACAAAGAAACTAACATTAGCAAACATCAAATGGAATCCTACAAAACGAGGCGCCTACCCGACGACCTACAGATCAAAGCAACGTTTATACGAGAGAAGATCTAAAGAGGATCCTTAATTGCAGTTCCTTGATTTTGAACTTTGAATGTGGCTTTGGAAAAAACAAACATTTTGAGTAATACTTGAGCTTTTCGTCTGACACGCTTCAGAGTAAAAAACGTCAGAACATAGATTGAAAACTCTACACTAGTAGTCTCTTGTAGGTCTAGAAACACTGTTAAAACAAGTGATTCTGCCATCGGTCAACATCTTTTAGACAACCCAGATTGTGCAAAACTCTATAATGACGACATATTTCGGATAATTGGCAGAGCCTGGTCGTTCTTCCATCTAGCAGTTTTGGAGTCATTCTACATAAAAACGAAAAAGCCGCCATTGTGTAGACAAAAGGAGTTCGTTTTCTCTCTTGGACTCCATTGGTAATTTTTCTTTAGGCTCGCGGCAATGATTGGTCAATTATACCGCTCTTGTGCTTGCGTTTTTCTAATTGGCCTATTTCGATCCACAACTGGGTATATATTTTCCATCGTGTTCTTTCGGAACCTTATTCTGACGTTTTTGCTCTGAGGAGTGTCAGACGAAAAAGCTTTTAGTATTTCGTAAAATGTTTGCTTTTTTCAAAGCCATTTTCAAACTCTACACTAGGAAATATATATACCCCGTTGTGGATCGAAAATACCTGGGTGCATATATTTCGATTTTGTTTTTACAACATAGCATGAAAGAATACGATTTTGTACTTTTAAATGTGCGAAAGCTGTGAGTGTTGGATCTACTGCATACTGCCCGAGAAATGGCCAAAAGAGCACAAAATTTTCCCCAATCAACAACTGTGATTCACATTGGTTAAACATTTAAGCCCTGGTCAAACGATCCAACATTTCGCTCAACATTTATCTTCGATGTTAGGGAGTGATCCAACATTGGTGGTCAAACGATCCAACAAGGTGTTGGACGAAATGTTTGGTGAAATGTTTGATCGTTTACCGGGGCTTTATGAACCAGGCAAAATTACAGTGTATCCTTGTTTGTTCGAACCTCGGTTATTCGAACACCGTTTTCGGTGTGATGTTTTATAGCCGAACATATTTCATTTGACAGAACGCTCAGCTCTAATCAAGTTGCGAAAGCACCCAATGAGTATATCTCTATTAGCAAATCTATCTGTCAGATCGATGAACGTGTGCGTCAGTTGTTATCTGAGCAGCAAACACAAAATGATTCATAATATGACTTAAATCTTTTCTATGTTTTTCCTACCAGAGAATGTAAACATTTGACGAATCTATATTCGACACTTTTGCGCGTGGCTTTCCAGTGGTAAATCTTATCCGAGATACAACAATATCGGGCTTATCTGAACCGTTCTTTTCATATTTCATTCCAAACTGTTCTAACCATATCTCAATTAATATGTTACAGATTTTGCACATTTGAAATATTGTGCCGTGCTCCTTCTTCTTATCGGGTAAAAATTCGAAAATCCTAAAATACTAAAATCCTAATCGGGTCAAAATCCAAAAAACTCTTATGACGTCATCAAATTGCCAGTGCATTCCGCTAGGTATATGGGCATGGTAGGAACAAGAAAAATTAAGGTCAGCAGGAAAAAATCATGTCGCCAATTTCATTCTTGTTTTGAGAAGAATTATTATCCGACAAAGGTTTTCCATGAAAATTTCTAATCTGATCATGCTTTATGAAATTCTTCGGCCCTTCATAGATTTTCTGTTGTTGGTCATTGCTATCTTTTACTGCTCTGTACATATTTTGCGTTTGTTTGATTTAAACAGCTGATAACTCTTTTATTTTGACAAACTGGTTTAACGATCGAAAAAAACTTTGTTTGCTGGTAGTCCAATACAGACTTCAGAATTAAAATGCAACCGCCCGCCAGACCATTAAAACGATGAAATCTCCACCAAAAACAATGGTGTGAAAAAATTGAAGATCGCTCTCCGTCGGGTTCTCCGGGGGTGGGGGAGAGCCTCGGAACGCACAGTCGCCCAGTGAATAGAAACACATGTTTGACGCGAAAAGCGTTACTCTTAACATATACGCAAGAAATCAAGAGCTTGGGTCAACGGATGCCTTTCGAAAACGATGGCTGCCATACATCTATTGAAGTTCTTTAAAACTAGAAATAGCTCTTGCTAGTACTGCCCGCAAACAATTAGTTCCTTGATAATGATTGTTTTGAAAATTTAGGTCAGGATATTCGAAGAAGACACCATCTTGGGTTTTCACAATTTTATAAAAACAGCTGCTCTAGTTGATGCTAAACTATTCTTTTTATCAAGAATTTTTGGTGTTCAGTTTGCCTTTGATTTAAGTCCAACGCCCTTTTGAAAATCATGAAGTTTTTCTAGGGTTTGACATTTATTTTTCGTTTTCGTGAAGCAAAGACGTATGACAATGGACACGTGATAGAACGGGTACAGCTAAAATAGATTGCGATAGATGATTCGTACAGCGATGTACAGGCGATAATCACGACAATCATAACTTTTACTCGTACGGTGTCGAGTTTTTGGGAGAAAGGTGTGGCATTCGACTGGTTTTGATTCCCAAAACTTCGAATCAAAACTTCCATCCATTGCGGAGAACCGAGCTGTGATGCAGCACCGTTTTCGTGCAAAAAAACCGAAGGCCTTTAACAGAGTCTTGGCAGAGCAACGCTCCGAAGATAATTCCCTTCCGCACAAAGAGGTGGCGGTTAACGACCTCCTCGACAAAGCCGATTGATTGACAATAAAATTGATTGACAGTTGTCATGGCAGCAGAAAAGTGACAAAATCTGCTGAAAAAGTGCTGACATTATGAACTGAAGCTTCCATATGCTACTTATACGCGGGGCAGACTATAAGCCCTTCACTCGCGCGCTATCGCGCGCGAGTTGCGGGCAATTACTAAATTTATATGCTACTTTGCAGTCTACACTTTACAAACACAATGAAGAACTGAGATAATGCCAAGTCTATATGGTTTCATGTCGACAGCTTATGTCGACGTTTAGGCGGCATTTAAAAGGCGCAAATGTGTAAAAAATGATGGGAAAATAAGATTTTTAACAATACTCACGTATTTCTTTTCAACAGCAGCCAACAGTTGCACTTTTTCGGCCAAATTAAGATCCTTGCTTTTTAAGGAAGCCTTCAATTCAACGCTTGACACAAAAACAAGAAATTGATTACAATTTAGGCATAAATTACATTGATTAGGCAGGCATAGCTACAATATTTAGGACACAGTCCAAGAGAGGGATGAAGAGAATGAACAAGCTGAATTAGGTATAAGTTTACTAAAGGCAGTAAAAAATTCAATCGCACTTTTTTGAAACCTTTGTAGACGGAATTTTTCATAATAATCGAGCAAAATGCCTAAACTTCAAGTTTTAATGACCAGGAAAAATTACGTCACTGATCACGTGATTTCTATTGCTTTACAAAAATGTATTCAAGGCTTAAAATGTTCACCAAGGCTTCAACTATCCAAATCAAGTACAAAAACTGAGTTTAGGCACTTTGCACGATTGTTGTGGAAAATTCCGTCCATTGTTTCTACTATTAAGAAGTAGACCAAAATGAATTTTTAGACAACTTAACTCTGAAAAGGCCAAAATTAGGAATTTTTGCATAAAAAAGGCCAATCTGGCAACACTAGACAATACAGTAAATGCATGTGTCAAAGACATCGAGGAAGTAATGGAATGTCTTAAAATCGATACAGAAAATGCAATCTCCTGCTTCAGAGCAAACAGATCGGTAGCAAACCCGGACAAATATATTACTATGTTTCTTGGTCTCCAGGAATAGGATTGCATCTTGACATAAATGGGAACATTAAAGTCATTACACAGAAATACTCTTAGAGTTTTCGGTTGATTTTTCCTCTAATAGAACAATATATCTAGGCAGACAAAGACAAAATACTCTTCCGTGCATCTAGTCTCTCAGATTTCAACTATTGCCCATGAATTAATGGGAAAACTGTAAACAACACAGTCAACCAATTCGAGAGTACTGTTTAAGGATTATGATGCCACGTTTTAAGATACGCATAATGAACAGATGCAGACAAAGACAAAATACTGATGCACTGGAGGGACATATAAGCGAAATCAAATGCAGAGGACTGCGACTCTCCAATTTAAGGTTTGCAGCTGACATAGACCTCATTGCTGGCTCTCAAGAAGAACTAAGAGAGCTGACGGAGAGGATCAATAGTGCTGCCAACAGATATGGTATGGAAATTAGTGCATCGAAAAGCAAAATAATGATAACAGGACCAACACCAATGAAATTGAATGCACCTATACAAGTAACTGGCGAAGATCTAGAACAGGTTAGTCGCTTCAGATACCTTGGTTCGACAATAACTGAAGAAGGAACATCAAAATTAGAGGTAGTGTCAAGAATTGGAAGTGCAACAAGTGCATTATCTAGATTGGATAAAATTAGGGAAGGAAGAAAAACTACCAATCGAGATCAAAGTAAATCTTCTACGTGCGATCGTTACCTCAACAGCATTATACAGATGTGAAACATGGACTCTTAACAAAAAGTTAGAAAAGCGAATTGATGCATTTGATATGAAATGTTTCCGAAGTTAGAGGTGATACAACGACAATATGGCAAAATTGAAAACCTTTTGGATATTGTAAAAATGCGGAAGCTAAAATGGTTTGGGCATGTTACCAGGAAGAAAGAAGCCACCTGTATGTCCATTATGCACGGGCAAGTAGAAGAAAGCATTTCATTTTCATTTCATTTCATAATATTTATACAGGTTAAAGGTTCATACATATATGTTTTTCAACCTGACCTGTTTAAAAGATTAAAATAAGCGCTAATAAATATGTTATGATACTAATAACAAAAGAAATTTACCAACCTAACCTAATTTACAATATTTAATAAGACTAAGTGAACGTAAAGTGACCATTGTCTTGTATATTGTGTTAGAAAAGTGAGAAGACCCAAGAAAAGTGAGAAGACCCAAGTGGTCTGGACATAGCGGAAGCATCAAGAAGAACTGAAGACAGAATGAGATTGAAGACGGATGTTTATACATGGGTGCACTAACAGCCTCTTCAAGGGCTACGGTCATGATGATGGTGTTTTAAGATCTTTTGAGAGGGTCGGCCGAACTATCCAGTGCAAGAATCTGTAAACACTTACTTTGAGGTGCCTAATTGCCGTCCTTCCGCTAATTAATTTTTGAAAATTTTTCAACACCCCCGCTCTTATTAGGACCCCCCTCCCCCTTCCGCCAATTAATCTAGGCATTTTTTGTGTTAATTGATGTAGTGAAAAAAAATTAAAACTTTGCGATTTATACCGGAATATATAAAACGAATAATACAGCTGAAGTTTGAGGATATGTGTGGGGATTTATCAATTTGTGTGATATATCAATTTTCTTAGCTTCTAAACTTTTTGCAAAATCATTTGTTTTGTTGATATGGTTCTATAAAAAAACTGATTTTAAGTGCATTTCAAGTATTCAGTATATGAAACTTCATAATTTAGACCCCCCCCCCCGATAATTGGAACCCCCGCAAATTAATTTTGAACATAAAATCCGAACACCCACCCGGCAATTAGGCACCTAAAGGTATGCTTAAAGATGCATAAGTGCCGCTTGCCCCTCCCTGCTATTGGAGTCTTCAAACCAAAGGATGTTAAACACGATTACGAACAAATAGCTTCCAGCAGCTCTCCAAGACCAATACCTTAGTTTAAGAAAATAATTTACTACCATTGGTATTTAGGGACACGCTATTTGTCAAGATGAAAAATTCCCAAAGCCCACAGTAATTCAGCTTGATGGGGGATATCTGCAGTTGCATCTTATGCAGAGGAATTTGATAAAGTTTAAGTCGAAAGGTACGTAACGCAAAAGTTTTGGAAAGTACAAGACAAGATGCCACATATTTTGATGGCCGAATTGTGTTGAAATCAATGGGTATTGCAAAATAAATGATTCTCCCGAAGTACGTCAAATTCAGTGCAGATTTTGTAGAAATGCCCAAAAAGAGCCATTGATAAACAGCATGACCGTTCAGGCTGAAATCATTTATCTTGCAATTCACTTACTTTTCCATTTCAGTGTTTCTTACAGCTGCTTTTTCTCGCTCGAGTTCTTTCATTATCGCATCCTTCGCATTGTCAAGTAATTTGTCTTGCATTGCCACCTTGGTATTAATACGATCTTTCTCTCTTTGCAGCACATCCTTGTGCTGTGATATCAAAGCTTTATTGTCAGTGGCTGCAATCCGTAAGGCTTCCTGTAGTTTTTGACAATCTCTTGACAGTGACTCGTTTGTTTTCTAGAATACAAAAACCCTTAGAGGTTTCCACGTAAAGGCCGTTTATATGAAAGACTTGGTATTTTTTGGCTCCAAGTGTACTAGAACATTGGCTTTAAATATAAACACACACATCTAAGAAAAAAATTCACAAATTTTGCTACCTCACAAAATCCAGAAATTCGTAATCTGCAAGTGGTGAAAAATGAATCAAGATTTAGATGAGAAAATGTACTTTTGCCCTGCTTTATGTTTTGACGACGTTCAGAATTTAAAGAATACTGAAACAGACTAAAATGGTTTTTCGGACCATCAAAAATACACAGGTAACCGAATACATGTTTTCGGAATGCTATCAGGTAACATGCCGATATCATGTTTTCCGATATCACTCTGGCGTGTCGGAATGCCATGGCGTACCGAAACTGGAAAGATTTTGGGCTGCGTAACATTGGAGCCAGCTTAGCAAGATCTCTGTGTGCAAGATTGCTGACTGATGCAAACTGACACAGCTTTTGGTGAATCTGTATTTAGCCTGGAACACGACAATTTCAAAGGACTCTAAATGGAGTGATGCAAGCGTGTAGCATCTAAGCAAATTTTTGTTACAACAGCAGTATGAAAAAAGTAGGATTGCGCCTCGTGCCTACCAACAATTGCCCACGTTCTTTCGAAAGTACTTCATTTTGCTGTCTAAGACTTTTTCCTTCCCGTTTGATTTGTGACATATCGTTCTCCAAGATCTGTCGATTCAAAGAAATTAATAACTTCTTTAACAACCAAACTTATACATTGGATTGTTACAAATAATTTCAAAATACAAAACACTGAAGTGTGAACAGCAACCAAACCAAGGCTGATCAAGAATTTGCATTAAATTCACAAATTCTAAATAGATTTATATCCTGATGTATTCAAAGGCGTAGTGGCATGGATGGGGGAAAGGACGCCAGCCTATCCAGTTGGATACAAACGAACGTTAGTGGGGCAACTGTCTGCATAGACCTTCCCAGAGGCTATACTTGCGTTAAATTTGTTTGGGAGATGAACAGGAAAAATTTTGTCTTCAAAGAGCATACGCATTGAACGACATCATTATTGTGCATGCACTTTAACGACAAGACGGAGGTTTGTCTCACATATTTAAGGATTTGCGCACGTTCGTCTCGCCTAGACGTGAAGCGAAGGGAATATCCGAGTTGAAAAAAGAATGGGAGAAATGTTGTTGTTATCATTCCTTGTTGTTGTTGAGCCAAAAAAATTGGAGACCCCCTCCCCGGATTTACGTTTTTTGGTAGCTGTACACATCTGAGATGTCAGTGCTCATGTGTTGGTACTTTCATATATAAAACCTAAGCCTGGCTAATACATTCTCGAAGCCTTTTCAGCGATGGAAGTGAAAATGTTTCGTTGGACTTAATGCACACCTCTATGAATTAAAATCAGAGGAGGAGTTTCAATCCGAAATGTAAAGAAGAGCATAAGAATCTTCGGCGTTCATTCTCCATTAGGCATTTTCAATTCAAGAATCTTTCTTTGACTGAGACATTTTGAAGCTGCCTTTATATAAACAAAAAGATAATTGTGGGCGTTTCCGATTGGTAAAAATGGCGTCTTTTGTTGATAAAAGGGCGTTTTCTTACAGTAAAAAGACGTGGCCGAAATTGTTATCTTGTCTTCCGAATAGCATAGGAAAGAGAGTTACCAGCAATAAAGAAAAGGATGAATAAAGTTCAGAGTTAAACAAAACACAAATATCTTCTCAACAATATGAAAAAATATATTTTAAAAAACAATACCTTCTTTTCTTCCAAGACCTGCTTAAATTTACCATTAACAGCACCTGAAAAGGGTCAGGATTCTAGGTTACCAAAGGAGCAAACTAAAATTCAATCAACAGAAGCTGAGGAGCAACACTAACAGCCAAGAATTGGTTGAAAGATGATCTATTAGTACTAAGAACATCAAAATAGTGGGACAAATGCAAGAATCACTCACAAGACAATTCTTGCAATATCATGTATAAATTCAAATGTTAATTTCTTTCTTAAATTTTCAACTCAATTCTTTAAGGTGCACTTAAATGTCAAAATATATAATATATAAAGTTTTAGGATCAATTAATAATTGGTGTTTTAAAAAAACAGCCAGTTATCCTTACCAAAATCTTCTTCTTGCTGAGAGAGAAGACCCTCCAACTGAACTCGCAACTCATGCTCATTTGCAAATGCTTCTTTGGTAGCAACAGCTTCTTTCTTGGCATTATCCCAACTGTTGACTAAGTCAGTCACTTGTCCTCGCTCTGAATCAACAATTGTTTCCATATCATGAATTCGCTGTAGCAAAGCTTCATGGGCATCCTCAAGGCTCTGTCTTAGGGCTATTTCTCTTTCTAGTTGTACATCTGTCTATAAAATTATGTAATCCAATATGTAAGAGTCATAAATTACCATATATGCATAAAAATATGACCAGGCATTGGCAAGTAAACTCTATTTGTAGATATTTTCACCTTCATTGCAATACTGTAGATCCTGCTTCACTCAGTCTGTGTTTACATGTTATAGTTTCTGAAAATCAACAAGGTCAACAAAAAGGGTACAAAATGTGGTTGAAATGGAAAAATTGGAAATATTGTAGAGTAATGTTCAGTAATTTTTCCTAATTTCTAATAGATTTGTTTTTCTTGGTAGCTGTGTTAGGGAAGAGCCTTGAGACTAAAGCAAAGCCAAAAAGGGAAAAGACGGAGGGATTAAGAAGAGAGGGTGGTAGCATCAAGTTCTTGATTTTAGCCTTTAAATAAAGAGAGGTTAAATAAAGAGAGGTTATTAATAAGAGTCCTTATCTGGCATTTTTTTACATGTCTCAGGAGATCCGAATCATATTTCTGATCTCCTGGGAGCAATGCCCAGTACAGAACCTGTAAAAGTTGAGGGATTAACAACACAGTGCCAGTGAGCATCAGGTAGGGGAGACTTTGTCAGCAGTAATACAAGCAAAGACAATTTGTGTGAAAGACAGATTTAAGGGGATTTTAGGGGGTGCTCTCTCCTAAATTAGTTTATCTACTGAGAGAGTCCCCCCTTAAGAAATTACCTGCATGCAAGTCTACTATTTTTTCCTTACACCCTTGTTGTTGTTTGTATTTGTATTTATTTGAACATTATTGGCTTAATTGTTTGTATGTAGCAAAATTTTAAAAAAAACTGAAACTGAAACTAAAACTGTGTCAATAAATTCAAACTTTTTGTGACAACTGTAATTAAAATGCAAATTGCAAGTACTCAAATGAACCCCTGGGGGCTTTTTCACAAAATATATTGTGGGGTTGGGGCTTATTTGGGGGCAGGCATATTTGAAGGTGAGGGCTCATTTAGCAGCAGCCAAAAATATTACTGGTGAATGTTCTTCCTCTATTTGAGGCTGGTAAGTATGCTTAAAAATGCAGATATGATGGGATAATTGCTGTTGAGGCAATACCTCAGCTCATTTGGGGCATATTTGAGGTTGTGATGTACAGTATGGATAACAATTAACATCATAGGCCTTAACTTGACTCTAACCTCCTTTTTCTGATTGGAGACTTTCTCAACCAAACCTTCAAGGTCAGCTATCTTTCCATCCCGTTCAACCAAAATATCTTGTGTATCTTTCATATCGTTAATCAAATGCTCCAGCTCTTTTTGAATGTCTTTATCCCTTTTTCTCAAAGCCTCAGCTTCCTGATTTGCAGCCTCTAACTTCCCCTCCAACTTTTTAATTTCGTTTTGGTACTCTCCTTCCTGATCCATCACATCACCTACAGTCTGCCCTTTCCTCTCACTTGCCTTATCTTGTATCCCATGCATACCAACCTTAAGAGACTGGAGAGCATTTTCCATTCTACAAACACGTGTTGTCATCTCTTCAAAACTTTTCTGGAGTTGCAACTTCTCTTTTGCTTTCTTTCTACCTACCAAATTATTACACAACAAATAAGCTTCAAACAGTAGATTTTTTAAAAAGTACATCAATGCATGTTTCCAAAAAAATGAAAACTTGCTATAAATGAGTTTAAAAGCAAGATCAAAAAAGCAAAATCCAAACATTTTTGGAGTTGTTATGATGTTATGATAGCTGTCAAATCAAATCCTTCAAGAATTTTGTTTAATGTGTAGGTTTTGACAATAAACTCATAAATTTCATCTAGATGTGTCTTTCCACATCCCCCACACTGGTTTCAGAAACCCAAATATCTTGACTCTAATTCGAGGATATTTTCCTCTATATTTGCTCTTTAAAGGGGCTGGGTCACGTGTAAGGCTGCAGGGCAAGTTTGCTGTATTGATGCTTGTGGATGGGATGAATCCAACACAGCAACATCCATTACAGAAAAGAGATTTGGTAGGACAGAGAGTCACAGTGCATCAATAAGATTTCAACGTCTTTTCTTACTAAAAAAATCATATCTTTATTGCCAAATCCTTAAAGATTGATTTCATATGTATACGTCAACATCATTCCTTTGATCAGTCCACAAAAATGAAGCTGTTTGCACTGCAGCAGGAGCACCAGATGTAATCGCCATAACAGCCTGTTTGGCCAAAGGGACAGCACAGAGGCATTGTGGAAAGCCAGGTTCACAAACAGTAAACATAATGATTACTAAAAGCCAATAGTTGATTCAGGCTTGGTAGCATTGCTGCAAGCATCAGGATTTCACAGTCTGTCATCTTTCAGACACTGGCTTGTTTGGTAAAAGGTTGATTGGTAAACAAATCTCCTTACAGGTGGACTGTCCTGCACAAAATGTTTGTCTAGGGTTGCAAGACCCAGCCCCTTTAATATGACTGAATTGAAAACATTCAGGTACTCAGTGCTTCTACTTTGAATTATGCTAGAGAAATAAAATGATATTGACATGTAATGTAAGTAAACCTGTTTTTGCAGCTTTTGCAACATCACTCTCTTTTTGTGCAAGCTCCTTTTCCTTGACACTACCTTGGGCTTTGTAACCATATTTCTTCAAATGCTTATTCAACAGTGTAGCTCCTTTTTCTGCCTCAGTGAGACGTTTTTGCAAATTTTCTAGTGTATCTTCAACTGGAGTTTCTGCTCCTATCCTCTTATTGCTTTTATTATTCATTGTTTATTGGTGGTAATCAACCTAAATTTTAAAAATTCTGTAAAAACCCTATGCCATAACGATTCTACAAGATAAAAAAGTGGACTACAAAGGGGCTACAAGCTTTCTTTTGTAAAACAAGATCTTGTTCATGTAAAACAAGATCTCATTCTATAATTCAAAGCATGCAAATATATAGGTTTACAAAATGAAAATAATTTGCGTGCCATACAGTTTTGATGAGGTATAGGCAGAGATGTACACAGCTATTGCTTGACAATCACATAAATTTGGGTCACATAAAACTTAGAGTAGCTTGAAACCATCATGTTCTATACATCTAGGCAAGTACAGTGTGTACTGATGTAGAATTCTTCTTTCATTTATCAAAAACACCATTTGAGATGAAATCACTTAGAAAATTAAAGAAAGAGCCCAGTAGAAAGATAACCTGATAGTAAAACCTAAAAGATAGTCTAAAGAGAAGATAACCTGATAGATTTTAAACATAAATGATTCGACTTTGCAAGCTAGAAGATTTTTGTAGATGAGGTGCAAGATCTTTTGTTCTGGTCTCAATCCAAGCTTGAAGCCAAACAACATTTTTTTTGCTACCTCTATAAGATTTCGTTTTAAAAGTATTCAAATCTAATTATCTGTTCAAGGTGATAATTAATAAATAATACACGTTGGGAACGACTTACTTGATAACCCAACAATATAATTTAGACCAGATCTTTGCACCCCAATGACTTCAGTCATATTTATAAATTTTAAACACTTCTTTATGTCGTGGGTGGCAGAGTTGAAGCTTAACTTCTCTTGCTTAAATCAGACTTCCTTTCCTAAGCTAAGCTTAGTCCATCGTCGTGCCATCATCACCAACACTACGCGCGCACTTTTTTGAAATCAAACCAATCCAAGCAGAGGGAGCCTCCTTCAGAAGCAGATCAAAGTTTAATCGAGGTTTATCGAAAACTCCTCATTATAGCTTCACCGGAGTTAATAGACATGGAAATAGCTGCGAAAAAATAATTTCCTTATCTAAATTTTTTCTTCGGATTTCTGCATTTCAATGGCTAGTGATCGATATTCTGAGATGGGCCATCGCGAATTATTTTTAGATTCCACGTGGTTCATGACGTCATAAGCAAAAAATAATTCAACAAGAAAGCTGATATCTCTTGTACCAAAAGTCTTATAACAATAACACTTGCTTATTTGGATAGCTCTAAGAAACAGCTTTCATTTGATGCAAATTATATTTTGCTGATATCAGTATATCGGCTGATATCGTTTTACCCCCACTGTTTCGCAGATTTCTTATTCTTGGACTGTTAATTGTCCTTTCTTGGGATATTCTATCAATCTCTGATAGAGGAACACGTCCATTGAGTAGGTTTACCTTAAATTGCTTTAAAAAGCTCATTAATTAAAGATTCTATGATGACGTCATATACGTAAATTACTTCAAATGATCTAGATAAGATTTTTTGTTTTGAATTTTGAAAATTACGCTATATTGTGCTGTGCTATATATTGCATTTAGCACCAAGTTATAGAATAGTCTTGCTGCCATAGCCTGTGCCCCAGACCCCTAACTTGAAAGTAGGGGTCTGGAACACAGGTTATGCTGCCAACGCAGGCAGAGGAAGGTGTTATCACCTCAACGAAGCCCTTGGTATGGATGCCTTGCTGATTTCTATTCTACCACAGACGACCCAACCACAGACGCCTTCAATTTTATTCTAAACCTTAAAAATTTAAACAAATTGTTTGAGGACATTTTCAGTTCTTGTGAAGGAGCAGAGTCAAAGATGACCATAAGATATCTGCAAGACATCTCCTCATTGTTATCACTTGTGTCAGTCGTTAGGGAAGGTTGCCTCAGGGTGTCACTCCACTCGAGGGGGTATGGAGGGTGGTTCATCCCCCCTCTCCATCCACGAAAGTAGGACTTTTCGCAGGGCAAAACTGATTTTTGCAGGGCAAATGTTTTCTACCAACGGATTTGTTTTGTTGTTTTTCTTATGTAACTGTAATAAGAAAGTAGGTTATGCTTGTCATTTGTCTACTCCAAAAGTAAAATGATACAGACTACCAGTGACACGAAGTAGAAATTGCCAGCATGACCTTGGGCTTGAGGGAAAAGATTTCTAAATTGATTCTGATTTCCTTTCACCTTAAGAGTTACACCTATTTCTATGGTTACACCCTTGGTTGATATTTATGTCTTATTTAAAAACCATACTAAAAAGACAAGCACCGCTTGCCAGAAAACTAAGACGCTGTAAACAGGGTTATTTGGGTGAAAATTTGATGGAATAGTTTTGCATATTTGGGTCTAAATTTGCTTTGACTATAACCAAAAGCATAAATTTAAGAAGGGAGCCGACTATATACGGTTTTTATATCTATTTTCTGTGGATTATATTGGGTGTATTGTATCAATTTCTGTAGGTCATCGATAAATCTGTTCCAAAATATTCGACTACATCCCATCGGGGCATTGCTCAAGATATGTTGTCATGAATATGTTGGCATAATTTGGGGCAAAGGGTTGCGGTGCCTTAGGGGGGGGGTTAATAAAATTTACCACCTGTCCTTCTCGCGGATTCCACTTGTCCTTCTCGCGGATCTCACCTGAGCGGGCTGGCCCACTTTTCACGAAACGCAAATACAGAGAACAAAGGAATTTATAGAAAGCACGGATCCCACTTGACTTACCGAGCCCACTTAAGTGGGCTAGCCCACTTCATGTAAACAGGCCCGTAGGCCAAATCAGCGTAACTGTGACATTGACCCACTTTCGATATCCTGCAGTGTCAGCTGGTTTAGCATCGTAACAGGTTTTGATGATGCTTTATCGCTTTAGGATGTTCCAGTTTAAAGCTGGGAAAATTGCCGAGAAACAGACAGTTGCAATCAATAATTAATCTATCGCACCATGCTCTTACAGGCTTACAAAATGCTAACTTCGTTAAGGTGATATCAGCGACCAGACTGATGCGAGCTTTTAGAAATGCGGGAATCGTAAATGTGCGTGAAAAAACTTTTGCAGGCTGACCTCTTGTGACCGTAAACTTTCTAAAGAAGATTTCTTGTCAAAATAGTATGTAATTGGTGGTTAAAAAACCTCAATTATGCCATAAAATCGTGTTGCTGAAGACAAGCAGGAGTCACCTAAAATAAAAAACGAAATTTCAGATTTCACAAATAACTTTCTTCCATGCTTGTTATCAGGGCTGCCAAGTAGTTTCGGAGGCACTACGGCAGAAAGTGATACGGTCCACCGCGAGCAGAAAATTTTTGCGACCACGGCCTTAAGATTGGCTTAAAATGGATTTTAGAATATTTCTGGCAGTCATTTCTTGCAATCTCTCTAAACATTATACTTTCTTAGACATACTTTTGCTATGTTTATTTAATTCAATTGCTAAAATGGAATTCATTACTTTATGAGGCTCCCTAGACATAGATGCCCTGAGGCATTTTGCCCCTTGTCCCTCCTCTCGGTGGCCCTTCTTATAAAGGACATTATTATCAAGGGTAGGCAAGCAAATGGAAGCAAATTGTCATTCGTGCATAAATGGCTGAGCATTGAAATGGTAATTCTATTCCTGTGCCTTGATGAATGAAGCGATTTGGTGAAAGATTGATTCCAAAAACTTCGACAATGTCTAAAAGAGATGAACCTATAGTGTTGTAGGTTACAAGCGGGAAAATTGTCGCACAAATACATGGTATGGGAGGTCGGGTCTTTCTGTATAGCACTTTCTGTACATCCTGCATTAAAAAAAATTCTCAAACACTCATAACAGTAAGTATTAATTTGTTACTTTTGTAAGGGAAGCTGATCCCCTTGAGCTCCCCTAGAACAATAACGCTAAACAAAGATTTGATCTTTTTTAATGTGATGCAGTAATATCCTACGGGCATTTTATTTCCTCTAAAACTTCTTGCAAAGTATATAAAACTGCTAAATTATTTATCCATGGTTGAAAATCTCCTGTGAGAAAAATCTTTTAACTGTGATTTAATTGTGACTAATGGTCACATGATTATTGGCATTCATGGCTGTGCCTTTCTTATTCTTTCAAGACCGATTCTGTAAGGTTTCTTGAAATTTATAATCAGATTATTGTTAAACATATTTGCTATATCTTCTAACAATCCAACTCATTCTTTTTTCCATACTGGCCTTTCAATTCTAAATAATGAATTATTCAGAATGTCGAAGGCACAAAATGATAAATTGTAGATTCGATGAAAATTATCCCTCGCCTGCGACTCGTTAATGATTGCGGGGATGGCTCAGCGGTTAGGGCCGCGGAATACATATCCAAGACTCGGGGATTCGAGTCCCTGACCTGACCAAACTTTCACTCAGAGCAAGGGGAGTGGCCACCTCTCTGCAATTTCAAGTGTAGGAATCACGAGGTGTGGTCAAATCGAGAGGAAGGACTAGGACACTGCTCGATTAGCATAGCTTCCCAGTGTCCTACAACCACCTTGGGATGCTAGGTAGAAACAAATGCGATAAAAATAAACAAATAAATCAATGATAGGAGCTATCACAAGAATGCTCTACAAGTCAACAAAGGTCGGCTGTTTTCCTACTTCACCTTGATGATTTTAAGTTATTTATAAATAAAAATCTCAAATAACAATTATTTTACAGAGTTAATCCTGGAAGTTTATCATGTTCTTTAAAGCTAATAAACCTGTATCGAACTTCATTAGAGGGAATTAGAGGGAGTTAGAAATATCTACGCGTGATTCTTACTTTAGTTAGTGTATGCAGCTTCACTGAGCGAAACTGCAGATCAACATGTGCATTTGAATTCAATACAAAGATATTAATGAGCTAAATAGGTTGAGAAATATTGAGTGCCTTTAAAATAATTTTATAATATGGTTCAAGGTTACGCTGGGTACCAGAGCCTCATAAATCCGGGGATAAAGTGTTGTAGACAACTGCAGTGGCAAGCTCAAAAAAATTTTCTGTGACTAGTTTTTAACTATATTTCTGAGACTAGACAATGATACCCAGGGTAGCTCTAGATGTATCCTGAAGAAATGGAAATATAAATTAAACCGTTTCCCCTTTTGAGTCACTTCTCACTGTAATTCTAAACTAACTTTTTCTAACCAAACGAGATTCAAGCATTATCCTAAACCTTTCGATTTCGGAATTTAACTTGTTTACATTAAAAAAAGTGGAAATAAAGATACAATTAGATAAACGAATATTGTCGTTACGGCTATTGCTATTAGTATTGATCATAAACCTTTCAAGAAATATCCATATACTAAATACGTTGTGATCTGTCAAATCAAATTGAATCTTTGCAAAACACTCGTGCGAATAACTTCTTGATTTGTTTAAACAGAGCTTTTCTTGTATCCCTCATGCCAAAACCATAAACAAAAGGGTCTGTAAGAGCATTTAGCATCCAAAGTATTGAAGTTATATTATACTTTTGGACATGAGCGAGACCATGGTTTTTAAGAGTTAAAAGTCCATTCAACGCACCTGGTAGAGTAAAAATGATGTAAGTAAAAGCCACTGTGGCTGCAACAAATGCAATCCTAAGCTGTTTTTTTCGAAAGTTGGCTTGTTCTACTTGACTGGTAGCTAGAACTCCTGGTTGGACTGTCATCATCTTTTGCCTGCTTGTTATAAACAGTTTGGCTTGTATTACAATTAACGCGAAACAAGTAGGAATCTCGATAACAACAATTATTACTCTCATGATTGGTGTCACTATGAACAGTTCCCGTCCTTCCACTGTTGTAGTTATTGACAAGTTAATTATAGTACATAGAATGCCAAAACTCCAAGTTGAAACCAAAGCAGAAATAAGTCTTCTATTGGTGACAATTTGATAAAATCGAAGACCATGAATGCAAGCGATATAGCGCTCAA